TTTTGCGTTCTGCTTTCAAATTCGAGAAATGTTTGGTCGTGTACTGTTACAGTGATATTGAGCATTTAAGTCACAGAACTGAGACACGAAAAACTACGGGATCATTTTCATTAATTGTTAAAATTCATATTTTCTGTAAAATATTAATGTCGCATTGATTTACACTATGTGATCAAAAGTATCCGGACGTCCAAAATGATGTTATGGTGCGGTCGTGTTTTTCATGGAGAGCTTGCACCCCTAATTGTTATGTGTGGCATTATCACTGCACAGGCCTACGTTGATGTTTTAATCACCTTCTTGCTTCCCATTGTTGAAAAGCAACTTGGGGATGGCGATTGCATCTTTCAACACGAACGAGCACCTGTTCATACAACACGGACAGTGGCGGAGTGGGAAAACGATAATAACATCCCTGTAATAGACTGGTCTACACAGAGTCCGGACTTGAATCCTATCGAACGCCTTTGGGATGTTTTGGAACGTCGACTTCGTGCCAGGCCTTACCGACCTACATCGATACCTCTCCTCAGTGCAGCTCTCCGTGAAGAATGGGCTGCCATTCCCCAAGAAACCTTCCAGCACCTTATCGAAAGTATGCCTGCGAGAATAGGAAGAGGTCATCAAGGGTAAGGGTGGGCCAGCACCCTATTGAATTCCAGGATTATCAAGGGCGCCACGAACTGGAAGTCGTTTTCAGCCACATGTTCGGATAATTTCGATCATATAGTCTACATACACTGCAATACACAATCTAATAACAATTATTCATTATTTAACAAACATCTATGATGCCTCTCCCCCCCCCCCCAACGATCGGCTGGAACACCCCATGCTGATAAAGCACCAACTGATTTTTTTCGTGGAAGAGACATCCGATCTAGCACAATATGCGATAATCATAATGGCACAAGAATTTATAGTAATTATTTCATGTACTATATCGGATCGCAAGAATTTTCGTTTTGTTCCTGTCTCATACTTCGATTTCAACGTACAGCCATGGATGAATAGAATATTAATCTAAGGTCTATAGTACAGCCGTAGTCGCAGGACATCAGGAGATACTTAAAAAAATGACAATATCATCATAAAATGAACGTGGTTTTCTATGTTGAAACCGGCTGAGTGTAGGTGAGACCCAGCATTGCCGTTGACTTCAGCGACTGACTGCAAGGTCCTAGGGTTCAAGTTCCGACGGGAACGAATTTTCGACACTAGCTAGATAGTTATTCTCCAATTTATAGTGACTTATAATGTTCGATCTGCTGAGACGCGATTACCTAATCTGGGGCTTCAATAACCAAGAATAAAGTCGTAACGAAGCTCCCGACAGGATAACCGCATCCAGATGATCAAACGTAAGAAGATACTTCAATTCCTTGCCTTATTTTGCTGGTGAGTCCACGAAGTATTCGTGGGTGAGGCTCAGGCCAACTCCTGTCTGACCAAGCAAATTTCGCTACGCTCTTTCACCATCTAACGGAGAAAGAAGGTATCACTCCGGAGGGGGGGGGGGGTAACAGGCGATTTAAATTTAGCAGGCTTGAGGATCTTTTACATGCAGTAAATCTACAACATCAGACCTACGGCCTTACGTCCCCTCCGAAGGATTTTTTTCGCCTTTAAAAATCCACGGCTTAGATGAGGTTTGAACACGCAAACTTGGGTATAACAGCCTGAATGCCGGAGCGGTACTCTAACAAACGGGCCACAGACCGGGCGCGGTTCCTTCCTCTGTTGTCCTAACCTCCTCTCCCCTTACACACAAACACACTTGCGCTGAACCATCGCATACACGTCGGAAGACCAATTGGGAGCGTAGAGCTTGTCTGAGCTGGAGCAGTGCTCCGCGGGAGAGGGAGGGGGGAATACTTGGAGAATGTTCTTGCAAACTGACATGTAGGTTCACACCCAATCTCACCATTCTGAAGGGGAGGGGCATCGCCACCTTCCGGGATAAAACATTCACTACACTAGCGGGACTAATGTCCATAGCAACTGCTTCGAAGGGCCCAGAAACATCAATTGAGAGTTTAAAAGAAAAAACACTTTATTGACCCCTCTTCCCCAGCCCTCATCGTTACAGAAACCAGGACCCTACAAAAAAACTTGTGATGACCTTGCAAAAGACTATAAGTAGTACACAATAAAGTAAAAGAGTTAAGAGACCTTTGTCAGTAAACACTTTCACAAAATATTTTTTATGCAAAGTAAAGCAGGAATATATTTTTCAATTGGGTTCTTCTCTTAGGAAGGAATCCAGTGTAAAGTTCCATGCATTTTTGCACTTTCACTTATACACCTTTTACAACACATACCACCATTTAAAAGGTTGAGTTGCATTAATAACTTTCAGTGAGATAAAAAGTAATTAAAATAATACAAGAGATTATATAAAAATTTTCTTTACTGCAATACGTACTCAAATAATACAATAATATAATTTCTTTTATTTACTCTTAAAAATACAATATAAGTTGCACAATATTTTTAAACCACCTCAGCATTCTATCACTCCTTACTAATCTCTCATTTTCATCATTCATTTTACCCTGTGAGGCTCTTTCATACAGGCAAATAGAATCCATCACAATATAGCCCCTTTTATTAGACAAAGAACCTTTCCAAATTCTTCCAGACAAAAACAGACACAGACTTCCATTCACATTCCATCCCCAGCATTGTGTTCCTATTTTTTAAAAAATGTTTAAGTACAGCAAGCACATAGAAGTTCCCTACATATAAATTGCTTTATGTTCTCTTTCCCGCATCTAAAATAAGTCACAAGTGTACAAAAAGTAACAGAGGTAAACAAAAAGTTTTCATTAATCATATTTTTAAAAGCAAAAATCCAACATTATTTTTTGGTGTTTGCTAAAAAGGTTCTCGAGGCTCTGAAATTCTCCATAAGCACTTTTATTTCAGTCACTGGATATATAATATTTGTCATCTTCAATGCTTAATAATTATTAGCAAAATAAATAATTAGTTTAATTACTACATATATGGATTTGATGTAGCTGTGTGTTATGAACATTTGAAAATACATCAATCTGACCTGATATATAGGTACCCCCAACTCATAAGACAACTGTTGATAACTGATTAATAGTGAAGAAAAACATTGACTGAATCATCTCATGACTAACTCAATATTTATGGATTTTACTTCTGATTTTTCAAAATTATTTTATAAAACATAGATATCTGTTCAATAGAAAAATTAAAATGATATGGAAGCATAGTAATGACATTTGTCATATTACTTTGAATTACAGCAAAAGAAATTTCAGAGAAAAATTGAGATGAGTGGAAAAGAAGGGGGGAAAAAGGAGAATAACACTGAGGACAAAAGAGACAACGCACAATGTTAAGAAACAGTTCAATGCAGCAATAATCAGAACTCAAGAACCTCTTTAGATAAATCTACATATTGAGAAGTATAGCACAATTTATTTTACTTAAGTTCCAAAAATTAAATTACAATGTTAGCAAGTTTCAATCGCTTCTCTTTCCATTTCCTGTTCAACAACAGATAATTTAAAATGTTGGTTATATTAACAGCAATTTTTCAACTTGAGATTTTTATGTTTCAGAAAATAATTACATAAAAATTCATTCTTTTTGCAATCAAAGCACACAAAACATGCATTCCATATTATACACAAATACAATGTGAGTATAATAGTCTTCCTGCAATATCGCAATAAAACATTTTATTTTTGATGTGTATTAAATAACAAATTACATTATGGGTATATTTTTCTGGACATATTCATAACATAATAATAAATAAATTTCATTATTTCTTTCTGGTGTTAGAAATTTAATGTCTGAGGTAATAGGAATAATATTTCAACATTTATTGCCTCACTTTTTAAAACAAGGTGCAAAACATTTGTAAGATTTTTACTTAAATATTTTAGCAGCCGCCCCCAACCCCCCATCATTAACTAAAATCATAAAAAAGGTATTAATTATTTTTCTACATTACTTTGCTTTAAATACAAGTCTATTAGCAACATTAATGAATCAAATGATCCATTTTTTTTGTAAATCCATTCAAAGCCATTACATGAAGGAAATTAAGTATCATATGAACAATGTACAGATACATATATCTCACAAATTATATGTGTTGGTATAGGCATTTCAATTTTTTAATATAGATATCATACTCACACACACATATATAATAAATTGGAATGAACTTAATATATGTACAAATATATCAATGCAAGCGGAACCTCATTAGAACATCATGGGAATATGCGCATGTGGGGCGAGTCAACGTTCCATACTTACAACTCATTCTCTGCAAAAGTTTAAATTTGCAGTTTGGGAGATATCAAAGGGAAAAAGGAAAATTATTTCATTACCTGCTTTCAAATTATGAGTAATAGAAAATCCATGAAAGAAAGCTTTAAAAGTTTAATTCACACCATAAGAAAACAAAACTAAGGAAATTTTCTACCAAGAAAATGAATTTCACTGTCCCATTTATAAGGCACAAAAATTAACCTCCTTTTGCTTTGAAGAGCACATTTTCATTGAGATTCATTTGTACAAACAGTGTCTTGGTAAGAAACAGTTTTCTTTATTTCTTTATAATACATTTCAATACACTCCAAAGCAATAAGAAGAAACGAGTTTTCTGAATTGCAGTTTTCTTTAAGTCCATTTTTATAGAAATACTCTTAGAAAAGTGTTATCTGTATATGTAACACGAACAAACCTTTGCTATTAAATAATACTCAGATTCATTACTCAATTTCTTTTTAGATTTGCTGCATTAAAAGTAATTTATTCTCTATTATTTTTGTTTTTATTATTTATAACTAGATTACAATAAAACTACCAAACAACAATGAATGAAACGTGACTGAAATAATATGGTCTGGGGTGATGTGAGAGGAAAGTATTAAAAGAATTTATGAAATGACAGGTACTCCAAACTTATAAACCTGTTCTATTACAATTAATTTTTTATATACTTTCCACATTGTTCTTTTTCACTTCGTTTAGAATTTTTGTAATGCACTTCATATTAGCAGAGACTGGCTAAAATTAAATTAGAAGGGTAAATTGTAACTCATCACTTTTAGGAGATACATGCACCACGTCAATACAGTCAGACAGATTTGCATACTCCAATGAACCAGTCAACAACACCAGCAATGAATAGCTTAGTGGTAGGACCTCATAAGTTGGGCCAGGAAGAACAAATAGAAGTATCATACTACCATCGTGAAGAAACAAGCACTTTTGATACTTTCAACTCATGAAATTATGGATTGGAAGAAGATGAACATGTATGTACTGGTGCTTATTCACATATGTAAATTATGTATACAATATGTACTTAACATATAGTGTATATATCCAGTGGAACTCCAATTTTCTAAATAAAAGAGGATTGGGTCAGTTCAGAAATTCCAATTATTGGACATCACTCTCATTACATATATGGAAACTAATTTTTATTACATTATTCTAAAATTTTTAATTTACATTTTTTTAAACATTAAAAAAATATAAATATTATAAAATATAAAAAATATAATAAAAAATAACTTTTGGATAATTATCATTTGCACAGCATTTTTAGACACGATAATATGAGACTAATATATTAAGTGTCTGTTTGACTTCTTTTGCATTCAGGCCCTTATCAAAAAAGTAGTAATTTACAGTCTACTGATGAGTAAATGGGCAAGTTGTTGCATTATAAGAATTCCAAGTAGTTGCAAAGGAATCCACCATCTGTAGCACCGGTGCCAATCTGATGTAAATTTGCTAATTATAAGATTAAATTTTGGTACATAAAAAGACACAACTTAATAAGATAATAGCAGGACCATATGATTTCATTCATTATTTACACAGTCCCATTAATATGAGAGTTTGGTAGTAGAGACTTTACTGAATATCACAGAAAAATTCAAATAAAATAAGCTTACCTTTTACAAAATAAGTTATCTCATGGATCAGAAACCTAATATTGAAGGAAAGCTTTATAGAAAAAATTTAAATATCTTTGGTCCAGAAAAGGGACAAAACAAACTGAAAGCAACAGAAAATTAGAAAAGAGTATTTTACTGACTTGGCAATGAAAGATCTCAATTGGCTAGGCAAGTAACAAGAGAAAATATACTAAAAAAGTATAACGAAACATCAAGAACAAAGGAAAGGACGACCAAAGTAGTTGAAGATCAATGACAATGACAAATATATTTTAAAAGTGATGAAAGAAGGTACTGGAAGCAGCCATTTTAGTAAAGATGGCCAAAAAGTTGTATAAAGCAGCAAATTCCAATAAAAATGCAACACAAAAATGTAATGTGCTTTAAAGGCAACCTTCCAAGTATTTTGAGAACCATGCATGTATGTATTTAGAAAGTGGCAGTATTAACCGAATTATCAGAACAGAAAGACCAGCTAGGTTTAGCTCAGAGTCAGCACTGCTGCTGTTTGCAACGACTTAGACCAGGAGGTCCCAGGGTTCAAGTCCTGCCAGAGGTAGATTTCTGACAGATAGCTATGTAGCTTGGTCAAATTCAGCCGCTGTTTGGAGAATAATTACAACAGCCAGCTGCAATGATCAGTAGTTTTCCATGGTTTCTCTGACAGATACCAGGCGAATACCTGAGCAGTATCCTAACAACCAGGCCATGGACTGCATGCAACTTTTCCATCCCATACCTGATCTTATCCTCTCCCTCCTGTGTGTAATTACTTACGCAAACACACACACACACAAACATACTGCACTACCACACGTCATGTGACCAATATGACCCTTGGAGCTTGTTACAGCTAGGGTGGGATCCCATCAGAGGAGATACCTGGAGGCTTTTTATAGGTTATGATAAGATATAAATGGGGATAAAAACATTATTTTTTGCATTTATCAGTTATATTCAATATCGATAAATTTTATTTGGAGTTTCCTGTCACACTAGTCTTCAATTTAGGTTGTTATTGGTGTTGATGAGAGCCACTTGCTGCTAGTATGACAATCCTAACTTCAAAATGACCAAGCTGTTGGAAACTGCAGAGTACAATCACAGAGTCGTGATTATGAAAAGTCCTTGTACTGGACGTTCAGTGACTAAATAGTTAGCTCTTTGATTCAGCGATTCACTTCAGTGATGGACTGTGTACAATGTTACTACTAATTAGTTTCATGATGTTTGGAGAAGGATATGCTAACCTGTTCAGAAAGCATTATTTAAAAGAACGTGTGATAGACCTTCATGAAAAGGGCTCAGGTAATGATTTCAGACTTCTTTGAGAAAACACACTGTCATGAAAGAAATTTATGATAGTTATCTGGATGTGGTGAAACCATGCATTTCACCAAGATGGTGTGATATGCATTTCACCAAGTGTGATCTACATCTCGCCAAGATGGTGCACCGGCACACAGGAGCCATTTAGTCCAAAACTCGTTTTCAGATAGTAATGTTCTGTGGGATAGAAGATTCTGGCTCCCTCACAACTCCAATTTGAACCTCCAAAAACTAGTTTTAGGGCATTCTTGAAAGAGTACTAATATGTGGAAAAACCCTAATCAAGCATTTTTACACACTATTTTCAAAGCATCATTTGCTGATTTGGGCAGCGCTGCCTTTCAAAGGGCATTCAAGTACATCAGGTCAAAAAGTAAGCAGTTATTCTGGCTGAGGGGTTTACACAAAATATTTTCACATTGGAGATATTATGAAACTGATATACAAAATATTTTTTTATTTTAATATTTCGACAAATAAATTTTTGTATTAAAAAAAATGTTACTTGTCCAGACTTACGCACCATATTCTGTAAATAACTAACAATACGGATATTAATAAATCAATAAATCTCATTTCCAAAATAACTACATACAGAATCTTCATAAAAATATTCTAATACAAATAAAATGATACAAGTGATACTAAGTTGATAGAAGATACAAGAGAAATTACCGAAGCATTTCAGATTCTTATGTGATTACTACAAATTCCTTCGTATGCAATTAAATACAAATTTGAAATATTTATAACAGCTCACATGGCAAAGAATTACAAGTAGGACAGAGTCAGGAATTGCAGTTTGGGCTCTTAAGTTTCCCCAATTTAGATTGTTTGTACATCAAGATTCAGGCCTAGCAAGCAAATTAATATTTTTCATGTCATAAAACAATATTTTTTAAAAAAAGGTTAACACTTATATTAACATAAGTCTAGGGGGCCTGGCATCTGACATTTATTAAAATGAGTGTTCTAATATTAGTTCTAAATAAGCCCATCCCTGACCCACAAGACCAAATCTTCAAATATTATTTTCCATATGAAGTGGTTAATAAAGATTAATACCAATAAATGCATTAGTAAAATGCTTGCATTCTAAGATCTAAATAAAGTTTGGTAAAAGTTAGTACTGTCCACTGAAATACCTGGTGGCTATTTTCATTGGAATATGCTCAACATGAGGGAACCTTTGATGACATATTAAGTTTTTCCATCGGTTACTTGAATCTTAAATATAAAATCAAATGAAACTCGGGAATCAAATTATGGAAAACTTAATTCTTAGGCAGGGAAATTTCACGAGTTAAGCAAATTTTAAAAATCTGCTAAATATAACTCTATTGAAAAATGTACAATTAAAATTGATGTTCTAATAAAGAATAGTTTAATGATCTATAAAAATGTATTAGTTTTGTCATAACACAGGATATTGCAACCACATTTAAAGATACAGAGGAACTAATACATGGTAACAAAATGACTGAAATCTAAACCAATTGTGCACAAAATCACAGTCATGTTTTCATTATTACAAAACATCCTGATGGCCAAAGGTGGCTCAATTATATTAAATCTATTTCATAAAGCTTTTAATATGTTCAGTGATGTTCCATGCATATGAATGAGTAAAAATTCTTCAATATATTGCTATTCTCTCATTTATAATGAAAAAAATTTGTTGTAATTAGAAATATAATAAACATATACGTTACATGACCACGGAAACATACATTTGAATAAAAATCTATTATAAAAAATCACATAGAAAATATTTTCATGCGAAATCAAATCATAAATGAGAAAAAAATGTACTGAATGGACCACATAATTCAATATAAATAAAGTGCTACTATGTCTACAAAACAGGATTTTTTAAAACTTTCTTTATTGTTTCTCTTTCAAGGTCCATAAATCACATTCAAAATTTTCACTTACATTTTTAAGTCAAGAAATGCCAAAAAATTATGTTTTTTCTAAAGATTTCTAAGATCTGCTTAAAGCTGAAGTACGAAAGTGTTGGTCTTTTTCAATATTCTTTGCATGCAATGCATCATTTTCTCACATAAGACAGCAACAGTGTTCACACTATCATCCATCCTAGTTCACAGAACGATCAGCAACACACACAAGGATGCACAAGTTGTCTTCTCAATAAACCTGCACAAACATGTTGGTTTAACATGGTCATTGCCACCATTATAATTTCAGTCAATGCAAGTACTGAAATATTAATTGAACAGCAGCACTTACACAGAAACATGGAACACCAATACCCCCAGAAATGTGAGCAAAACGGGGTAACATTTGTAAATCTTACCAATTAAGTTGGTTGATACAACCATTTAACAGATAATACACGAAGTACAAGAAGAATTAAAAGAAATTAATGTATGTGGCACACAATCTCACTACATCTTTTTTGCTCCTAGTTTCATGGGCCCTCCAGAAAGTTTGGTGGCACGTCTTGCTTCCAGTTCCTTCTGACGTTGTAATTTTCGTTCCTCGCGTTTCTTTCTAGCTTCCTCTAGGCGACTTGAGGCTGCATTAAAAGAAAAATCATTTTATCATCAAAAATGCATTAGTGCAGAAAGCAAAAACAGTTTACCACATCTTGCAAATGGCAGCATGCAGAAGAAACATATTTTAAAAAGTACACTCATCCCCTCAGATACACAACACAATCAATATTACAATTTTGTACAAAAAAAAAAGTCCTTTCCAACCCTGTCAAATCCACTGGTGGTCAGAATTTGTCAGATTCCGCAGCAAAGATAAAAAAGAGAAAATTTTCGAATAGATTCTTCAAGTTCAGACCTTCATTAAATGTTGTTTAATACTATTTTGTTATTTTATTTATTTACTGTTACTTTTAAACAAATGTTTGGAGAGCATTAAACTATTCTTTATTTAAATATCAATATTAATTTCAAATTTTTCAATGGTTAACACATTTTTAAAATTCACTTGCAAAATTGTTGTTGCTTCCCTAAAAATTAACAAACTAGCTTACACCACATAATTGTATATCGTTTTCCTCTCAAAATGTAAAAATTATTTTAATCAACTGATTTTCTATGTCTGTATCTGCAAAATACAATTTAATACACCCTTGTGGAACATGAAGTCCTTCTCCTAAATGCAATACTCTAATATGAACTAATTTCAAGGCAATATTTGAGAAACAAGAATTATATACTCTTAAAGAGCACAAATAATATTTAAAAGTCTACTGCATACCAAATGATATAAATTATTTGCTCTTAAAGAGTATCAAGCAAACAACACAATTAGTTTATTTTGAAATGTTCAAGACTCAAAAAAATCAAGGAAATTAATTGTAATAAAACAATGTCTGCATTTCATGACAGTAATGGATTGATTGTACAATTTAAACATCCGGGAAAAAATTATTAATTGCTCATATATCTGACAAAAATTGCTCACAGAGCTATTGTTCAATGTTCCAGTTCAAAAAAAATCTGTCAACCATGAGAATATTGCCAGTAATTATTTTACAAAACATTCCATTTCAAAGCAATTGTAGGATTACATTTACACATTAAAAATTACTTTTAAAATGTAGAGCTACAAGAAGTATATATGGTTTTCAAAACAACTGAATAGATATGAATAAATCACGATAAAATTGAAAAATTCAGACTGCTCAAAATAATTTCTACTTTCTAATTAATAAAGTTCTTAATTCAATGTCATAAATCAAAATTTTAAAAATATATGTAATTTCCAAGTGGTAGTGGTAGTGGTAGTGGTAGTGGTAGTGGTAGTGGTAGTGGTCGTGGTGGTGGTCGTGGTGGTGGTAGTAGTGGTAGTAGTGGTAGTAGTGGTAGTAGTAGTGGTAGTAGTAGTGGTAGTAGTAGTGGTAATAGTAGTAATAGTAGTAATAGTAGTAGTAATAGTAGTAGTGATAGTAGTAGTAATAGTAGTAGTAGTAGTAGTAGTAGTAGTAGTAGTAGTAGTAGTAGTAGTAGCAGCAGCAGTAGCAGTAGTTGTAGTAGTATTGGTCATGGTGGTGGTAGTGTTAGTATTATAGGTCGTACCTGTGGTTTTGATTATTTAGTTTTTTTTCCCTGGGGTAAACGGTCATTAGTCCCATAAATGTAGTGCAAGTTATATCCCAGAAGATGGAGGTGTTCCTCCTACTAGAATGTGAGATCCTGTACCAGACATTGGTTTACAGAGGGTGTTATCTTTCAGATATCTCCTCCAGTGGTGGAACCACCCCACCCACACGTTCTAATCTCATGTGGAGTGATAGTGTTACGCAAGTGAGTGAGTGCACAAGAAGGTGTGCATGTGCACGTGTTTGTGTGTGTGTAAGTGTGTGTGTGTGTGTGTATGCACGTGCGTGTAAGGGTTGAAGAGACAAAGGTGAGAAACAAAAAGAACATGCATGATCCAGGGCATGTTTGTTAAAGTAGAGCTCTGGGGATTTGCCAGTACTGATTGGGGACACAACAGGAAAACTATCAATCAGAGCAGCTGGCACTTAGAATCCTCCTCTAGTCAATAGCTGCATTCAACCTGGTTAACAATCTACTGATGAAAATCCACTGTGGTTGTGTCATGAACTCTAGAACCTCCTGGTGGGCAGTGGCTGTCCAGGAGGTGGTACGTCAGTGGCAGATGCTCGTTGTGTATTTTAGTGGAGTGCTGGGTGGTGTCACTTGTTGTTGCAAAGTGTTCATTTGTGGTGTTGTTTGTGTTTAAGATGTTAGATATCATTGAGCATTGTGTGAGGGTGAAAACGACACAAGAATTTGGTACAATAGAAGGAATTGTAGCAAGAGTTGTGCAGGGGCTCTTTGTTAGTTATGTGACAATGGGAAACGTACCTTGCTCATTTTAGAATTATACCAATGGCAATATTATGTCAACAGCAACGTGTAAGATATTAATACGTAAGTGACACTGCAGAAATTTGAGCTTACAAACTCTGCAAGGGAAAGTTGTATCCTTAATTCTTTTGAGTGGTGCACGGAAAAGACACATTACATGCAACACTCTCATATTAAATTGTTCCAATATGCATGCAATATTTTTTATCCTAAAAATGCACAATTATTAGGAAAGAGAAAATAAAATCAGATGGACAAAAAATCTCATTTTCATGAAAGATCATGTGTGTGTAAGGAATACTTTGCAGTTTTCAATTCTTGTTGTGAATTCGAATTCCAAAAAGAAACAAAAAATAAATAATGATCAAGATCAACAAATTCAATTCAGTCTATCCTTAAAGTAAAATAGGCTCACACAAAATATCCAGACACAATAATTTTGGAGTTCATATTATATTTTATAAAGAAAACGTTACAATGTATTGAGATGAGAATAAAAAAAGGGAAGGAATTCCATTAGTAAACAGGCACGAAAACTCAGAATCAAATTGTTAAATAGGTATTTAGAGTTCATATTTTTCACAATGATGTTCCAAACACGTCAAATCTTAATTTTATTTAGTATTCATAAATTGGGGAAAGTTTCACTAAAAATATGCTGTTTAAAAATGTACAACAGACTTGAAAATACAATAAGCACTTAAAATTTAAAAAGTATTTTGAACACACATTTAGTCTTTCAATTTCTCAAAGACATACATTGGATTTTATTTTGTTAATAAAGTCATATACATTGAGAAGAACCAGGCATGGGGAGATATTTGACTTGAAATCATCACAAAGCCTGTATCTGAAAGGGAATTCATATTACATTATTTGATTTGAAGAGTAAATTTAAAGCTTATTGCCTTACTTCACAGGGTACATGATCCACAAAGAGTAAAGTCCATCAAACTCTTAATAATAATTTCATTCTGTTTCTCTTGATTCTTATAGCAATTGCTGAGATGGCATCTGCTCTCTATTTTTGGACATTTAAATACCTCGTACATATCAGATACAGATTAGTACAGTTTTTGAGATATACATTGCTTCATTTCTGAAGGATCTATTAAGCAGACACATTACTATTCTAGTACTAATTGTTTTACCTCTCAATATGGAGCAAATAAAACATGTGCAACATTAGAAGTTTTATTTAGAAAAACAGTCCTCAAACCTTGTAGACAGCCCTTAACGTTGACGTTAAATGAAAAATAATAGTTAAGACTATTGCATCACAAATTTTGCCATTTTATGATATATATTAGATATTTAATATTATTTATTAATTATATTTATAAAATGCATCAACCTTTACCATATTTTTAAAATATATTTAAGCTCAAAACTAACATTGAAACTTCAGGTGTCTCCTGAATAGATTGTAAGACCTTATTTTCAACCTGGAGAATTAGCTCTTGTACATGGATAAGCTATTAAATGGCAGTGAATTGTGCGAGGGTTTTTTTTCTACACATACACAGACTTAGTAATTTCAAGTACACAAATGCACCCACCATGAGCCATCTTGTATCCTTGACTTGCTTCCAAAAAATTGAGAGAATATGTTGAAGACACTTCCTAATATAACAAGAAACTGCTATACCCAATTGACACAGGATGAAGCAGATTTTAATGTACTTTGGTACCAATCACATCACTGATTGTGTGTTGTCAACAAACTAGGAGCACTTTGACAGTTTACTCATGTTCTAGGTATTACTAGAACAATATACTTAAATGTTTATTTCCGTAATGTTTTTACACTCTTTCTGTCCAAGAAACACACAGAGCATGATACATATATTATGCATGTATGTTGCTCACCCATCTTACACTAAATACCCATTTTGTATTTTGTTTACAGACCCAGAGCAGTGTCCTGTTGCTAAGCAGTATACTGCTGCTTTCATATTTATTACTTTATGATGTTAATACATCTCAGAGCAGTGAAGTGATGCCTTCCATATATGTTTTGAAATTTTGTATTAGTTCTGATTAGTGGCAAATAAAATAGTTGCCAAGATTTGCGCAACTCTCTATTATCATAAACGAGACACTATGGTTTCATAGTGAAAGTTGTTTTTTTTTCATACAAGATCTTATGATCTCATGTTATGACAAATTTTAGTATAAAAATATTATATAGTATTTCCACTTATTTGCAAATTATCAACTTCTTTGTATCAGCAACATTTACAGTTCACTATACACTGTGGACGAGCTGCATTTAATTAGTGCAGAATACTTTGTACAAGAGTGCACCAACTAATGTTGGCATTGAGTGGTAGTAAAGGAAGGGAGATGCGGGAGATTTGGTGTAGTAGAAATAGACTGCACTTGGCAATGAGAACATGTTAAATGTCGCTAAAGACTCATGAATGTATCTTCCCACTTTACTTTCATCTCTTGTTCCTTTATTATTAGTGCACACTTTCAAATTCAAGACATGTTTTTTAATTATCCTTTGTATTGCTCCTTTTTGTTAGTCCTAAAATCTCCGTATTATAAAGCAAGAGCCTACTATCATTCTACTAGTGCTAAAAACCAAATTAACTTATTTTAGATACATGACAATGAAATTCATTATTGCACAAAAATAATGTTCAACTATAGTAATAATAATTTTAGGAGGTAATAG